TGATGGAATGCTTCAAAATAGAACGTAATATTTAAAAATTAAATTGAATGTCTGTATGAATAAATCCGTTGTGCTGGACATGTGCATTCATGCGTGGGTGGTGGTAATTAAAGTACATTGTATATCAGGGCCTGCCAGCTACCGATAGATTAAGCTCCTCTTTCCAGTTGATACAGGTGGTCATGTGGCTAGCTTTGTATATGGATACAGCTTCTAGCCATTTTAGATGCTCCAGGCTTTGTTGAATTCTGCTTCGATGTCAGGATCACCTGCATAAGTGATCAAGGCAGTGGTGTGTTGCAAATGCTGGAGGTTTGCTTGGTGCTCCCGTATTCTGGTATTTAAGGAGAGCTTGGTGGAACCAATATACATATATGTATAAGGTCCTTGTCCCATCTGCTGTCCTTAAGTGGGATGGAGTAAACAACAGAAAGCCTATTACGATTGAACAGTCTTTACAGTTTCTGAGGATGTCGAAGATCGTCGGATATCTCCTATATGCTATCTGCATTTGTTGTTTGTTGGCGATCTGTGTACACCACTTTAATATATGTGTTAAATGTGATCGGACACGTGTTTGATTGCCTGAGTCGGTGCTGGTCTTTGCATGCATGGTGGGTGTGCATTATGAGCAGTAATGTCGGTTAATCAAACAGTGAGTCAGAGTTGGGTATCCGTGCCTATGGAAATGGCAGAGTTTTGGCAGAAAAGCATGTCATTGTTAATGGTGTTTTCGAAAACAAGACTTTAACTCTATGATGATATTTTGGTATACTTGTGAAATTCTGTGGGTCATCTGAAAACGAAAATTTGCAGTTTGAGAGAAGACATATTACAGATCATCAATCCATCAAAATTGGCAGATTATTATCTCCATATATTGTATGTGGCCAGCAGCAAATAATATAATGAATAAAAATACATAAATTATGTCAGGTCTGCCAAGCACTCCAAAATGTCCTGTACAGAATATTGTTAAGCCAAACTGACAGTTTTTGCCTCTCCACGGCATCAACTGACTGCAATAAATTAATCAAATGTCATGCAGATGAAAAAAATGGGAGGAGTGCATACAGACACAATCACAATTGTTTAAGGCATGGATCCAACTTTGTGTTATTTCAGGAAGGACAAGATGTAAAGGAATAAAGTCTTGCTGGTTATCATATTCCAAGTCAATATCTATCAGTTTGGGCAGCAACACATTCAAAATATTTGCGTCAAAGTTGACACACTCAGTTTTATTACGCTTTCTATATAATCTGCATCGTTCAGCATTAGTTATTTTTCTGATTCCTTTTCAATTTTTCTTTCCAATGATACAAACAGAAATGTAAGTAATGTGTATTTCCTTTGCAATTTCTTCAACATTATGAAAATTTTTTTCAACCCGCACTGTTATCAGCTTATAACTTTACAAATTCTATTTTATTGGTTATTATTACTAAATAATATTGTATATTCTGTTGTACTGTACAAATTGACACAAATTTCAATGTCCTATCTCTTTGCCATCCAAAGTTCTGCAGCCCAAACACACACACCACGTCACTATTTCAAGTGTTCACATGCAACTGCTTTCCCCTCCTTCACACAGCTGCACACCCCCACTACCTACAATTTTAAATATGGATGTAATACAGTTCAACAAAATTTAAATTGTTACATTATCATTCATTGTTTACGAGATGTAAGCACGACAAATCTTGCCATCTGTTGGGTTGCTCCAGTTTTCGTAGACCTCCCTATAATGAACCAAATTTAAAGACATGTTCAGATCAAAAAGAAGAGAGAATCAGACGATTCTGCAATATTTGCAAATTCCAAGACTTTTTCTGCCAAAAATGTTATCCCCTGACTTTCCAAGTCTGTACAAACCCTGTATAAGAGTATTTAAAACTCTTTCAAAAAACTTTTAAGACTATTATGAATCCCAAAATCTCTATTATGATTTATGATTAAAATTATGATTGTACTTAAATTATTCTAGTTATTCTTGAAATTTTCCTGAACTAACTAAATATATCTAATATTATAAATAAAAATTGTTGAAATATAGTCTTTAATGATAAAGAAATTCTTACTGTTTTTCTAATGTCCAAATTTCCTCACGAAGTTTTTGCTGTTCTTGTGAATTGCGCTGCCTTAGTTTAACTACTTTATTATTCAAATCTTCATAGCGTAAAAGTAAACTACTACTTTCATTTTCCATTTCCTTAAATTAAAAAACATACAATTATTTTCTGTAATTATCATTATTACTGTTACATAATATTATGCTTTATCACTTTAATCTAAAATAAAATATTAAAATTTTATACACAGTTATACAGACCTCAAATTATGCAAATAGATTATTCTGTAACTCACTACATAATTCAAATTTTTCACTTGTAGCCTAGCCTATCTTAGAATACCCTTACATAGCCTACATCTTTGTTGCAAACACAAACATAACAAAATTACACAAAGTTAAACTGAAAAGATGCAGCAGCCTATGTTGTCTAACTGCACAAACTTGCACATAATTTACTTTGTTTGCTTTGCATAAGTGCTATCCTTAAATTCTGTGTATGGTTGGAGATTTTTTGTCTAAGTGTGGATTTATGAAAGTCGTATTTCCATAAATAGAGATCTGTCTGTGCTTTATTATTACTCTGTTGGAATGTCTGGTTATCTAAAATATAAATTCCATAAATAAAAATTTGTCAATAAAAATTTTTCTATATCAAATAACTAATAATTATCAAGTAAATTTAACTTCATAATAGTAATTTCAGTTCAGTTAATAATGATGATTAAAAAACTGCCCAACTATATAACCAATAGTGTGGCTTTCAAAAAAATGGCTAATTATGTGGTACCAAGAATTAGGAATTATCCTAATGAGATTAGTCATTCACACATGGTTAACTACAAATTGTGGCAATAAAAATTTTAATTAAATTTCTATAGTAATAGAATAAAGTGCATCTATAGTAATAGAATAAAGTGAAATCATTGGCTAAAGCTGTGTGATAGTCTACCGCCAATATTAAAATTTACATTTTAAGTGCGGATTTACAAAGACTTTACAATATATATAGCAATAAAAATTATTTTATAGGTTATAAATAAATTAATGACTACCCGGAAACCAAGCTAAGAGTCCTTAATCTAACTTACAACTAGGAGTAACTTAAACTAACCGAATTTAGACTGAAAAAGATGGAACACAAGAATTAAAATACAAAGTTAAAAGGCACCTATATACTGACAATTGAAACAAAGCAAGAGAAAGCTAATTGCTATCTGTGCCCCTGGAGTGAGTGCTCTCAAAAGCCCTACTAAGGGATATGAATGCAAGTAATGATGGAACATTGTACGCGTGTGAATGAGTTGGTGCGGACGGTTGCAAGACCAGTTGTACCCTTCAAGAATAGCAGCTCTCATTAAGCTATCCCTAATGTGATTGTATCTATTGCAGCGAAAAACTAAGTGAAGTGGTATTTGGTCCTCTGGAATACCACAATCACATTGTGAATTGTCCCCAAGGTTAAATCTATGCAAGTATTGCTTAAAGTTGCCATGTCCTGTAAGTCAGGCTGTAACCAAGATAAAAGTGGCAAAGAATCGTAGTAGTATCAACCTTAGGGATGAAAGTGTAGGTGAACCTACCATGGTCCCTGCTGTCTTGCCAGAGAATGAAACTTTGCTTCTTGACGTAATTGTTGATGTACGAGGTAGAAATGTAACTAAAAGTACTAGTGACTGAAGACATTGCAGCTCGTTTGGCAAGACAGTCAGCAGTCTTGTTGCCGAGAACCGCTGCATGACCTGGGACCCATTGGAAATCTATTCTAGTATTTTTAAAACCGTGCCAGTAATTTTTAGTAATTCAAACACAAATCAATTATTGTATTTATTCAGACACTTGGCAAATCTCATCATTAAATTTTATTCAGTTGATACATGTTCATTGTATTTTTACGTTTCAGACATTCCTTGCCCCTCTTCAAAAAGTTGGCTGAAGAGGGGCAAGGAATGCCCGGAATGTGTAAAAATACATGAACACGCATCAACTGAATAAAATTTAATGATGAGATTTGCCAAGTATCTGAATAAATACAATAACTGATTTGTGTTCAAATTACTAAATCTATTCTAATGTTGTTGTCTAAGTGTCTAAAAATGTGGTGTATGAGATGGACGAGTTTTAAGTGGCTATCAGACTTCGCAATCTTGTGTAAAGCTACCCTACTGTCAGAATAAATGTGACAGTGTAAGTAGTGTCTTTTGTTCTTCCTACACCTAATGTGAATTAAGCTCATATAAATAGCTAAAGTTTCTACCTGTGCTATTGAGCAGTGTGTACCTAGACAAAAGCAAGCATTGTGAAGCTTGTGGCCTAAGTCAGAGTAAACTACAAAAGTGGCACCCACATCATCACCCATCTTGGAACCATCAGTGTAAATCCTAAGCATGGGATGATCACCTGGATCTTTGAAGTAAACGTCAGGGGCAAGCTGGTGGGAGGGATGGTAATCATAAAGTGGGAGGGTATTTTTGTCGATGCTGAATTTTTTGATATCATTGATCAAGGTCAAACGAGGGGGGGGGGATCTTACCTACTCTAATCATTTTGTCAACATCCAAGTCGCTATAATCTTGCCAGGGTAAGGTGACGAGATTTTCCTGCCAAATAATGCATTTAATTTCTAAGTTGATAGGGGTCAATCCTGACATTACCAAAAGGGCACTAATGAGTGTAGTCCTATAAGCCTTACAAATGCAGAGAGCTGCAATCTTTTGAACAGATAACAGTTTTTTACAGTTATGGACTTTGGCGGCCATGTGGCCCCAGAACTGTATGGCATAGAGGAGTGCTGACTGAATTGCACCCCTGTAAATAAGCTTAGTAGTGTTAGAGCCAAAAACCCATGTGTTCCTAGCAATACTAATGAGGGCATTGGCCATCTTTTTAGTTTGTCCATGATGTGTTTGATGTGGGGTGTGAAGTTAAGTCTCTCATCAAGAATAACACCTAAATATTTAATTTCCGTTGTTTGCTTTATTCTGTGAGCACCTATTTGAAGGGTAAGCTTCCTGACGAGTAGCACGTTTCTACCAACTATCATGCTTTTGCATTTGTCTGTGTTAATGAGTTGCCTATGCTTAATATGCCACTGATGAATGTTACTGAGAATGATGTTGCATATGTCCTGTAAGTGTTCACTGTTCCTGTGTGAAGCTAGGATAATTGTGTCATCCGCAAAGCCTTGTATGTGGCAGCCAGAAGGCAGGGTGTCATTTAAGTGCAGAATACAGTTATAAGCTATATTCCAGAGACCAGGACCAGACCTGGATTCCTGAGGACAGCCTTGAGTGATGAGTATGACTATGTTATTTTGTGTTGTATAAACACCTGGACTCCTGTCACTAAGACAGGACTGAAAAAGTTTGTAAAGATTTTGAGGGCAGTGATGAGCATGTAATGCGTATAAGTTAGAAGGCCACCAGGTGTGATCAAAAATGCCTCTAAAGTCAATAGAGATAATTGCAGTATGCTGATTGTTTTGTTTAGTCTGGTGGATTTAATTAACAACTTGGTGGATGGCATTTACAGTACCTTTATTTTTAGAGAAGCCAAATTGATTCTGATGCAGGGCTCTATGCTTGCATGGATGCTAAGTGATCCTATTAATCATTAGACTGTAATACTTTTCCCAGAATTGGGAGAAGGCAGATTGGCCTGAAATTATTTTTAAGTGTTAGCACTGGTGGATTTGGGAATCAATTTGACACTAGCCTTTTTCCACTGAGTAGGAAAAAGGCCAGTGTTCAAGCAGATATTGAAGAGAATTACAAACACTGTAGGATTGACCTCAAATGCGTGCTTTATCATCCTAGTGGTTATGCTGTCAAGACCTGGGGCTTTGTTATCGATGAGCGAACAGATGGCATTCAAAACCTTAATGTAGGTGAAGTTGTGGTCATTGTCCATATTAGATGGAGTGAGTGTAGAACTCCAGGTGACTGCTTGCGTATTGTCATCCTGCTGTGGGTCATCTGAAGGGTAAAGGCTGGTGAAGATATGCATGATAGTTTCTTTTGTGTTGTTGGTGTAGCAACCATCGGGGAGCTGGAGCTGGTGTTTTTCCTTACAAGCTAAGTAGTACAGTTCAGACCAGGGGTTGTGACCACAAGTGTTGGTACAGAAATCCTTCCAAGAGTTAGTCCTTGTTTTATTTATAAGGGTTTTGTAAGCAATGTGTTCGTGCCTGTACTGGTCTCTAAGTGTGACTTTAATGTTCTCTCATTCCTAAATTGCCTTTTTAATCTCCTAACAACTTTTTTCTTGTTTTCTAGCTGTGGTCCACCAAGGAACCTTTTTGTGTTTACAATGTTTGACCTCAGAGGCAATAACGTAAGAGTTAGTGATTGTATTTGTAAGCCTGGTGACAAGATTGTCTTAGAGTTGTGAAAATTAGCGTGATGTAAACGCTTTGTTTTCTTATACAAACAAGGATACCTTAGACAAGATTGTCTAAGGTGTCCTGAGTATAGTGACTGTAGTGAGGGATACCAGCCCAAATGTTATTGAAAGTGTTGCAGAATAATTGCCAGTTAGTGCGAGTATAATGCAAACTATGATTATTAGTATTACTAGTAGTGTTTAGTTTGGTGAAGATATACTTATGGTCACTGGCAGAATCTATGTCGGTAGTGTAACAGTGGTTGACTCTATGGGTGATGTGACTATTTCCTAATGTTAGGTCAATCCAACTTTCCTCCATGATACAGGAGTAGGTCAGAAAAATCCTGGTGTTAAAGTGAGTAACGTTGTGTTGGGCCATGGTTTCGTTAACTACATTACCCCTAGGGTCATCTTTTGGACTATAACAGGTTGCAGACTTGGCATTAAAGTATCCTCCTATTAGGATAGGTTTATCTTTGAGTTCAGGAGGTGATGATTGTCTTCAATAACTGTCTCAATGTTAGTGGTGTCTGGAATGTAGACAGAACATATGTAAAGGTGAGTGTTATTGTCTGTAACACAGACAATGGTAATGTTTTTGTTCCTGATGATAATACCAACCTTGATGTGATAGCCAGGGTCCTGAGCTGGTTCCAGTCATTGAACTGACTATCATGTTGTTAATAGTGTAGGGTTTATGGATCATGATTATGTCTGTATTGTGTACATTGAAAGTGTGAATGAGGAGGGAGCAGGCAGCTTTGCATTTCTGTGCATTAATCTGTATGAGTTTATAGCTGCCTGTGTTCGTATTTTGTAAGGGTGTATTATTCATAGCTGACCCTACTGGCAGCTTGTGTTTTCACGAATTTTGGTTATGGGGCACTGTTGAGAGAATGCATTATGTGCAGTCTTATGTTTTCTCCCTTCTGGTAGTGTGTTATTGGCCTTTGCACAATTAATGCAGCATGGTTCCTGACTGTGAATGCGGCAAACCTTGTAGCTGTGGTTGCCCATGCAGTGACTATTAAATCTACAGTGTTGTTTTTCTGTACATTTAATAGCTAGATGGCCATAACCACAGCATTTGTAACAGCATGTGAGAGGAATATAGTCATCTACAGCTATTGTTGCCCATTGCACACTAACATACTGCTGTTGAATTAATGTGTTCCTGATACTACGAGTTACCTGAAGGACAACATGCAATCTAAAAGTGTCTGTTATGTTGCGGTTTATTTTGGTTAGAACACAGCAAGTCTTGAAATTCCTGGAGTGTGAGTGTAATATTTATTGCAGAATTCTGGATGTGGAGTTCTTCTATAAAGGTGCTGGTGACAACATTTAACAGAATAAACTTAGATTGCTTGACTGCCAAGTATCTGATTTCTAACCTATCCATTAATGTTTTTACTGAGTTTGTGGCACCATTTTGTCACTGCCACTGTATTTAACTGAATGCAAACTCCCTTAGTCCTAAATTTCCTGAGTGCTTCAACTGAGATTCCTAACTGATAGATTTTATGTTTGTAGTGAGTGTTTGTCTTATTTCATCCTGAGTAATATTAATGTTTTCTTTTGAAAAAATGAGAACTGTGTGTGTGCCCGCACTGGACTGTGTATGCTTTTGAACTGTTTTCTGGATAATTTTGGTATTTGTTGTGTTAGCCCTTGCAGCAACCAGCATAAAAGGAGGTCAGTAAGTCAGAATAGTCTTTCGCAGGGTCCAATATTTTATCGACTTTGCTATCGACGAGAGAGCCAACCTCCTCAGAAACCTCCTGTTGAATACAACAGACACTATCAGCTAAGGATTTTGAAACTGCTTCGCTAATTAAACTATTCAACATATCAACAACATTGTTGGGATGATGAACCAATGCTCAGATAGTCTAATCTGCTAACAAGAAAAAGATCATTTGCAGCTTCACGAATTTTTCTGTTCTCTTTCCGAACAGAAGAGCTGCATTCTTCTGGACAGTTTCCCAAAATAATGTCCAAAAGTTCCCTAAGCTTTTTACAGATTGATGAGATGTCTGAGCATGGGCCCCTGACCCCAGTGTTTCCAGAACCAGATGGACACCGAAAAAGCTACGAAAATGGCTAGGCAGTTAAAACTGGCCTAGTAAGGCCTATGAACTCACAACTGAAAAGGCTGAAGAACAACTCAGAAAACCCTGAAAAACTAATGCAATGCAGTAAAATCAGAAAAACTATTTAACAGAGAAAAACCAAAATTATATGGGAAGTTAAACACCTGGAGACCTAACTGACTACAAAAAGAGAATTATCTAACTTAGATCTAAACTAAGATAAGACTAACTATCTGAAAAACATCCTAAAAACTAAAAAATTTACAAAGGCTAGTCAGAAACAAGAAAGTGATCGAGCGGAAGTTGAAAAAGAGTAAATTTATATCGATGAAATCAAAAAAAATCTAACTGTTTTTGCCTGGCAAAGCCAAAACAGAAACTGAGCTAGCTAAGCCTAACCACAAAGCCTAACTGAGAAACACGTGAAAATGAAAAATCTAGCCTATTGAGAACGAAAAACTGACTCAAAATCTAAGCAGTAATACAAATACTAACTATAGAGTTCATCTTTACTTCAACACCGGTTCTTCTCACTTCTGTAATCTGTTACCAGTGTGTTACGTGTAAAAAATACAGTGGGTGACAAACATTTTCAAATCAAAACTTCTTCCAAAACGTCAGACTATGAGGCGTTAAATATAATCAAAAATATTTTATTCTTGCGAGCGCTTTCGACGTAAATATGCAAGTCGTCTTCAGGCAATAATCGAATAAATCTCTCTATTCGATTTTGAATTGCCTGAAGACGACGTGCATATTTACGTCAAAAGCGCTCGCAAGAATAAAATATTTTTGACTATATTTAACGCCTCATAGTCTGAAGTTTTGGAAGAAGTTTTGATTGAGATAACTGTTGGCGTGACATCCAACCCCAGTACTTAATACTCCTAACATTTTCAAACTATCACAAAGTTCTTCTTCAGGTCAAATAAGTTTTGAATGCTTCAGAATGGAATGTAAAGATTTAAAACGAAATCGGATGTCATTTCGAAGAAATCCGTTTCGTCAGGCATGCGCAATTGCGTGCTGATGGATATAATTACAGGTCAATGGAGCTCCCTCCAGCCTTTTGCTCCTTAGGGATTTTTTGTTTACTTTGGTTCAAGATCAGGTACTACACCAACAAGTACTAGAAATGACCCATCTCATCTGTTATGATTCTATTTATACTTTTGATGGTATTGTTTACTGGCAGAAGAGAGGAGTACCCATGAGTAGCTCTGTGTCTGGAGACCTTTGTGAAATGGTCATTAACAACTTGAGTGCAAGGTCCTTCCATCATTCCTCCCAAACATCCTATTCCATAAGAGATACATTGACGACATTTTCTCACGTGGAGAGTAATACCAGATATGTCGTCTTTCGTGCAAGCTGTCAACGACAATCCATATGGTTTAACAGTAGGAATTGAGCAAGCTAGCAGCAAGGAGGTCCACTTTCTGGACATTAACATTAGAATGAAAGGATCCAACATACACACATCAGTGTACTGCAAGCCGTGTGCTACTTCTACGTACATACCAGTTGGTTTGTCTGACCCATTCTCATACATGACTGCAGCTTTTAACACTCTGGTCAAAAGGGCATTTTCACATTCATCCACCTCATAAGCCCTACCAGCTAAGTTAGCTTGAGTTAATAGCAACCAAACACAGGTACCCCACCCTAATGCACTGTTTGGTTGAGTGATATCACCGCTCACAACGTACTCCCACTGTGCATGATAGTGCTAACTTGGATCCTGACAGTCCAACATGTGTTCTCATCATGTTTAACCTGTATCTTAAAGCAGTGCATGCGAGGATTGCCAACAAATTGCGAATAACATACAAGAGATGTCCGACGATCTTTGACATCCTCGGAATGAAATAGACTCTCCGGATTGTATGAGACTTCCTGCTGTATACGCCATTCAACTTAAGGATAACAGATGGAGCAAGGACTTGTTATATATTAATTCTACCAAATGCTCCTTAAGTACGCAGGTAAGAGAACACCGAGCGGACATTCAACATGGACGACACACTACTGCACTTGCCATGTATGCATCTGATCCAGACATCGAGGCGGAGTTTGACAAGGCCAAAATTGTTGTCACCATGCTCCACCAGGACCATCTTAAATGGCTAAAAGCCATAGCCATTTACAAAGCCGACCAACAGACCACCTGCATCAACCTGAAGGAGGAGCTTAGTCTGTCACTAGCCTGGCAGACCCGTATAGATATCGACCTGTAATTATATCCATCAGCACATGATCGCACATGCCTGGTGAAATGGATTTCATTGAAATGACATTCAATTTTGTTTTAAATCTTTACATTCCATTCTGAAGCATTCCAAATCTATTTGACCTGAAGAAGAACTTTGCAATAGTTTGAAAATGTTTGTCACCCACTGTATTTTTTACATGTAACACACTGGTAACAGGTTACAGAAGTGAAGACAAATACTAACTAAAATGACAAAAAACCAGCAGTAAAAACACTCAATAGAGCCCAACAAACACAAAAGTAGACCTCAGCAAAAAGCTCACCAACACAGGCAAGAAGCAGGCAGAGAAATCCGGTACATTGATATAATAAATTATATCAAGTAAATCATATTGAAATAGTAATATGTGAATAAAGAAATAAATAAATCAAAATGATTCACAAAATTATATAATGATTATTCACATATAAATATTAAATGTATAATGTATTTTCAATTAAAGATATACATAATTCAGATATCATTAATAATGGTTTTGTTCAAAATATTTTTGAAAATTTTAACTTGATTTTAAAATTTAATTGCATACTCAAAATTGAATTTATATTTATAGATCTTAACAAAACAGATTATATATATGTAATCCTCTTTGCATGTTTTGAAAAGAAAATATACACAACATATATGTGTATGCATTTTTTCAAATGTAATGTTAAAAAGCTGGTAATTTAAAATATTAAAAATTCAATTAAACCAAATAAAGTATATAATTGTATAAGAAATATAAATGATAATTTAAAATAGTTTATCTTTAAATCAATTCAATAATTTAAATATCAAAACTGAAATAGCCAAGGCAGTTTACTGCTCTGAAATCTGGAATCAAGTCTAGGCAAGCAATTTCAAGAATTTTTCATAGGCAATCTGTCCCAGATATGTCAGGGTCATTTCTCACTATAAATCTGGCTGAATTCAATCAATATAATATTGTTTATTTTTAAAATTAAAATTGAAGACCAAGTATAGATGAATGGTATGGTATGAATGGAAAAGAAAGATAACATCTATAGTGTTATCAGCTCTGATTTTAAGTGTTGTTTTTAGTCAGATGTTTTTCATTGTTTTTAAAGAAATTTTTTAAAATTTTGGTGGCCAAAGAGCCTACAAAGAAAGGTCAGTTGTCAAAAGTTGTATTCCAGAACAATGAAAGTGAATAAATGTAACTGTTTTTCCAACAGACTTGATCTTCATTTTTAATTTTAAACTTAATCACTATCTGGCAAAAAATTTTTAAAACTAAAAATATTGTTTATTTGATAAATACCTGTCTTCTAGCATCCTGTAACTTTTGTTGTTGTTCCAGTTTTGTTTCAAAAACTTGTAGTGATAAATGCAATTCAGCATTTTGCATAGCCAACTGAAAAAAAATTAAGGAAATATCAATATTATATTTTATGGTATCATCTCTAAAATATATCTGTACTAAATCTTCACATAATATCTGAAAAATAAATATTTTATTATATTAAAATAATGTATAACATAAAATGAAAATATTTCAAAAAGAGCTTTAAAGTTTTCAAAATTATAAATGCTCTTATGGAAAACTTCATAATAAATCATTTAAGAAGACTATCATTAGGTCTGTACTTTAAAAAACTATTTTGAATAAAATTTAATATTGTATAATAGTTAAATTATCAAAACATTTAACCAAAAAAAAAAACTAAGACTGATTATATTAATTTAAAATACTAGAAATTAAGTATTATACATGTACTATTTACTCAGCTTATATAATATACTGTATATCAGGTTGTAAAGGTAAAATTTAGGCATTTCAATTTTTTTCTATAAATGAATAGAAAAAATGCTCTAAAACATTTGATGTAAAGATAAGTTGAGTAAAAAAGAGTAGTTCATTACATATTTCATTGGAAATAGATGCATCAGCAATATATGACTATATGAAATTTCAAAAGAGCACATTCTTGTGATGATGTTCCATCACTTCAAAAGTGCCACAATGCAATGAAGGCTCAAGATCTCAGCTGCAAAGTGTTGGTTAAAGCGTTTGTGGGTGAAAAAAGGTCAACCAGTTTTGCAAATGTCAAAGGGCCAATAGTGCAGAATAAGGAGATGATCTATGTTTGGTATGATAATGATGAAACTGCTTTCAACCAACATCACTGTTATGAAAGAACTCTACTATGAACAACTGGATCATTTGAACATCAAGATCAAAGAACTTCATCCAAAAGTTCACAAAGTCCTATACTGTCACAACAACATGCAACACACAGAGTGATGATGATCTTAGAGAAGCTGGTATGGGCTGAGAAGTTCTGCTTCATCCACCTTACAGCCCAGATTTAACACCAAACAACTATCATCTATTTTGCACCCTGCAGAACCATACTGCCAATATATAGTTCATTGACACTTGAGACTTTCTTCATAGAAAAACCTCAGTTATTCATGCTCATAAGATTAAAAGTTTGTAGCATGATTGATGTTGATGGTGATTACCTATCAAGCTGAAGTGTAACTGTTGTTAAGTTAATTGTCAATAAAGTTTTTCCCAATATGTCTAAATTTCACCTTTACAACCTGATAAAATTAATACTTACATATATAAAAATAACCAATTTTTACTATACACAAAATTTATTTAGTTGCAGAGAATTCCCAAAAATTGTTAATTATTCAGGAAATTCAATAGAGAAAACTTCAGTTTGAAATTATTAACATGAAAAAGATTTACGAATATAAATTTTTAGTTAAAAATTTAGTTACTAAAGATGTTCTGGTAAGAAAGGAGAATTTACAATCTTTTAAGAATAAATAAAATTAATTTTATTTTTTTATTTTGTTTTTAGAAATTCCTANTGTCATTTTAGAAACATTTTAAAAAGTAGGCAAAGCCAAACCGCTTTGGATAGATATTTTACCAAACAACCTCTATCCAGTGAAAGTGCTGGTGGAAGTGAAGGAAAGAAAGTAAAAAGCAGTGAATAAAAAATAAAAAAATATATATATATTTGATACTAAAACTTGTATATATATAAAACAAAAAAGTTAAAAAATTAGTGTTAAGTTATTTTTAAGTTATTGTTACATTATATTACGCAAGTTAAGTTTAGTATCATTTCCCTTCTCGCGCCACCAGTTTAAACCTCCACCATCGTCTATCCTCAAAGGTAAACCGCAAATAAAACTACATTTTTTTTTATCAATTATTATTCTATTACAGTTATTTATACATTTACAACTACAAAATGCATTTTTCAGTGTTTTCCTTACTATAGTTATTATTATTTTTTTTTAATGTATTACTTAGCTTTAATTTGAGTGTGTTTTTCGTGTTGGAACGAATTATTTGGTTTTACATGTGGGGAAAATGATTCACCTTATGACATTTTTATGATACGATCTCAGTGTCGGAACGGATTAATTTTGTATGCTGAGGTACCACTGTAATCTAAAGTTGCAAAGAAACCTGGTAAGTGAAATAAAATAATCATTTACAATGATTTAGTTAATCATTTCTTTTTGTTAACCCTTAAGTACTATAGATAATAATAGTGACATAAATACTATGGAGGGGTCTTCCAGACCTCTGCTTTTTAATAATATGAAATTACTCTTTTGTTCAGCTTCTTATGAATTCCTAGAACTTTGTATGATTATAGATGAGTTTAAAATCCAAATTAAAAATATTAAAAAAAAATTAAGACTCTCAACTCTAAGGGGATAAAAAAAAATAGACAAAAATAGCAAGAAATTTATTTTTACTTTTTTGTAATTTAAATTTTTAGAGAATCTTTTAAAGAAATTTTTTTTACACATTTTTAACATCAATGAAGAAAAGTTTAAAACCCAATATTCTTTCACTGCAGTTTTAAATGTTTAATGAAATAACTTCAGAAATTTCAAAGAAAAGATTTGTACACAATGATGTCATGACTTATGCCATTTTTCTTTCAAATATCACACACATTTTTATTACACAACACAACACACATTGAAAAACAATTTTTTCAATGTGTGTTGTGTTGACACAATTCTTTTTTTCAAAACTTAAAAGAAATTAATATTTCTTTTCTTGTTCTTTTTATTAGGAAACTACTCTGAGTATGCAAGCACTACATGCACACCTTTTCAGAGCACCCCAAGCAAATTGGAACTGCTGACATGAATATCTTGTTTTTTGTTTGCTGAACAGTTCTCTCTCTTATAGGTGAGTCTCCTTTATATATGCAGTATTCTCTTGATGCAGAAACCCAGCTCTTTTAGATGTCCAATGTAGAGTCTGCATAGCACGTGAGGATTGGTAAGGCTACTTGCCACCAATTTCAGAAAAATGAAGCCTTGTCATCAATTCTGCTTTTGAATAGGCTTGATGTAACATATATGAGTTTACACCACAAGTAACATCCACCAGTGTAGGAAAAAAAAAAGCTAATGGCCACCTTCTTGTCTGGCAACCTGATGAGTAGTTGACATATTTTTGATCAAGACCATCCATCCTGCTTTTAGTGGTGTTGTAAAACACGATTATCTCAGCTTTCCTGTCTCTTTATCATTGTTTATGGAGTGGTGCATTGAGGAAACCAGTATCACAGCTTTGTACTTGTTTGGGTACAAAAGAAACAATTGTTGTGCCTTTGATAAAGCAATAAATGGTTAACTTATCTTCACACATAAATAAAAAAATCATGCCTTTAAAAGATCCAGTAATGAATTTAATAAAATAATAACGTTTAAATTTTTTAATTTTTGTATTAGTGTTCTATTCTATTGTAACTGATGAAGATCAGTAAAACTGATCGAAAATGTTATTATTTTATTAAATTACTGGATCTTTTAAAGGTGTGATTTTTTTATCTATTTTTATCCAGTTTGTTCAAAATATATAGTCACACATAAATGGTGATTTAATTGAAAAGAAACTAATGTGGAATTTCATTTCTTCAAGCTTCCAACATATGAAAAATCCTTTTTTGAAAGTTCTTTCACTAATTCTATTGATGTATATCAGTTATATCCAGTAATATTTCTTCAAATGTTCTCAATAGGTTTCACCAACCTCACCACAGCTTGCTAAGAGATTTTTCATAATCTGACAGTTTTCGAATCATTGCCTCTGCCAGAACCAACATACGTGTTATTCAAATAGTTTTTTCATGTATCAGTCAAACACTGAATTTTCAATATGTCTTTGGATTGTTTATTTGGCTTGTACATCCTAAACATGCACCTTCCTCAAAAAGATACAAGCATTTCATCCACACAGACTGATGCACCTAATGTAGTAGCAAAGTTGGCTATTTTCAACGAATCATTGAAATATTGCTGAAATTGCTGCTGCTTTATCTTCTTTTTTCTTCTCAATCATCATGTCAAATTCTAATGCAAAGAGTAAAAACAAAAACCTTTCTTTAGAAACAGTATATTGAAGAATGTAATTGCCTGTTCCATCTGTTGCAAACAAGCTATGAATTGACTCATTTTCTGATTTGAAAATAGCTGTATATACCAACAATCTACTCAATGCATTCAGTTCAACTGAGTCAACATCTTGAAGATAAGATAAATTTTTTCAACATATTTTACTCTAAGTTTAGCTATTTTTACATTTGTTCACAGAATAATTTTATCAAGATAAGTCTGGGTGAATAGAAAACCCCATACTTTCACAACATCAGAATTTTCCGTCTTTTAGATGTTGGTCACAATCCAGGCAATTTCAAGACCATATTATGTTTCCTTGTTCTTACATTTTTTTCTGGTTGACATTTCCTCCATTTGAAATATCCATTTTTTTCCATTCAAATAATCCTCCTCTAGATCACGTTCATTCCTATCAAATTCTTGTTCTGAATCCATGTCATGATTGCTAAAAATTTCAAAATCGAGATCATTGTCACTATCATCAAAATCTTCACAGAAGAATTTTTCTAATTCTTGAAAATTGGGACCCCATTGTATGTAAAATATGTTATATAAAAGATCCCACTTTTCAATCTGTAAAATTCTGGAACAAGTCAACAAAACACACGTAACTACTACGATATGTCTCTGCAACCACTCACTGTGGAAAAACTTAATAACATTGCAATGACTAATTGGAACTCCATGTGACCTTCCATGAGACTCTCAATTTAATAGACTAATCAGGAAAAGAAATGTTTGTTATTGCCAAAAGTTCATTAAATTTATTGTGTTTAAAAACATGTAATAACAAATTTATAATGTACAGGATGCATTAAAATGTTATTATATTTAAACACAATTAAAATATTATTATGATGTTCATCAAGTGCACTATCCACAAATAAAAAAAACGGTTATAAATCATTAGTTTAGAACAAACACTTTTGTCCATTAAATCCAAAGTCCAATGAACTGAAGTCCATTAAATTGAGGGTCTACTGTAGATATATAATTACAAAATAAAATGGAGATTAATATATTGCATTCATTTTCCTTTTATAACAGAATTTAATGAAACAAGTTCTAAAAAGTTATCTAACCAAAATGTATTTTTGATATTAAAACACTTAATTTAAATTTATTATTTTTCTTGTATTATTATACATTACAACTAAGCTCATTATAGTTCAACTGCATTTAGACATATTACAAAATAATCTGCATGACAATTACATTATATCTTATATGATAAAATCATTAAAACAATTATTTTTATAACTGAAATAAATAAACCTTTTAAAGTATTAAAAACTTACTCCTTTTTTCAAATTTTGTTGTTCTAACAATAAATTTTCATTCTTAACCGTTATATCTTTTATCCTTGTTTCACTGTCAAGTAATTTTGGATTGATATTTTCAATCCACACATTATATTGCAGAGAATTAGCAGAAGGATTGAATTCAAATTCTGGAAGTTCCACTTTGTAATAATTTTTTACTTCCATTCTGAACTGTTGGTATATTTTGTTAAATTCAGAACATTTATTTTGGACCTAAATATAAATAAAATATTGATATGAATCTAGCTAAAATGAATGCACGTAGGTGAAATCTATTCAATTGGGACATAAATATGAGAGTATTTAGGTAGTCTCTAGCTTTACATACATAAAAACACGAAGACCAAACTTTTATGTATGTTTATGCTTTGTCTGTCTTACTACTGTTTTTCAATTACTCGAATTTTCACCATTTTTTTGCGGAATTTTAACGCGAATTTGCCCTTTTCCCCGATAAAAAAATAACAATAAATATCGCTTAGCAATCTACTACACGAATAATTATTAAATAATTAGTGATTTCTATTTTAATAACCAGATTTTAAAAATATTTTAAATAACATACTTATGTGAGATCCGAAAGGCCCTGGGTCCAATTTGTGAATTTTTGCTATGATGTAAGAGGGGTGTTTGAATTTGACTA